TACATAAGGATATGACTGTTAACTGAAAGTGTTTTTGCGCTGAGGACGCACACGCATCTGTCAAAGCACCTGACAGGGCAAGCCATTATGCTAATGCTTGCAGCATCTCATTCTGTTTCCGCCACTATTTTAGATGCATTTTGTCCATAGAAATAAGTAAATTCAGTGCTTTAATTTGACGCGACCGGCTGAAGTTGGACAAGTATGTAAACTCCGTTGGACGTGCAGTGTGGGCAGACCCGATTAATCGATAATGAGAATCGTTGTCGATGATTTTCATAATCGATAATAATCGATTTTATCGATTAGTTGTTGCAGCCCTATTCTCAAAAGAAACTGTAAAATGCTCATGAGGTGACTCTCTGGACAGTTTTAGAGATTATGTTTATCTGTTCATGTACTCATATATTGAGGCGGCAGAGGCTGAAGACACCATGAGCATTACGTGCTTCAGTATGTGTGAATTAAACAAAACTGCGTTAATATTTATCTATTTCGGGCCCTAACTTTTTATCCAGATTACATTTCAATAATACATTTGAGGGCTGGGTGATTTTTTTTTTTTTTTTTTCTTCTCCCCAATTAATTGTGATCTTGAGTGATCCAATAATAATTCAGTGCCAAGGTAGAAGAAATCATACTTTGCGAGAGACGTTCTTGGGGATTCAAGAATGTACAGCACGACCAGTGTAGCCTGATTCCAGAAATGAATGACTTTTATGGGCCAGTTCTTTTGAAGAATATTTAAAAAGGGTGAATTACCGGTTTTGAATTATGAAACACTGCCCTGTATAATTTACAACATTAGAGGACAGAGAATAGTGGCAAAATTATGAATGACATTGTAACTGAAATATCCCCAAATTAAATTAAGAATTGATTCTAAATCTGAATCAAGTTGAGGGCTTATGAATCAGAATCAAATCTGGACATCTGTATTGATACCCAGCCCTACTGTATTTCATATCAGCATTAAATTCTAACAACAATGGTATCATCATTTTTGCTTCTTCAGATCAAAATAACAATTAAAAATTATTAAAAGTAGTTTTGGCAGAGCCAAGAGGAGGCCATTTGGAAGGTGCTTACCTGCCCTGCTTGGCACAGAGAGTACATTAGGAACATACATACATACATACATACATACTTAAGAAACTGTATTAAAGGTAGAAAGAATCAGTCAAGTTTAGAACGTACCAAAGAACTGGAGGGTAACAATCTGGCCGGCCCAATTCAAGTCAGGCTGTTTTTATGGTCTTTAAAATACATTTCACATTGCAAACAGCTGTCTGCTGTATAATTTTCCCAGAAAGTCACAGGCTCGAATGGCAAAACCTAAGTGCAGTGTGTTCTGGGTACATAGTAATTAGTCCTTCATTTTGTAATGACAAACCCCTGAATCCGTTTACAGGGAAAACCCTTTTTTCCTTTAAGCAGGTTTAACCGCCTATGTGCCCTGAAATGTCCTCAGATGTTCTCCTCGCCTTTCACAGTTAAATGTTTACAACAGACAGTCCAGCTGATCTCAGAGAGATTGACTGTATTGTGGCTTGGTGTCTGGTTTTGGCCCGGCTGCACGCTGTGGAGAATTACTCCGATAGGCCACAGATATTTCTCGCTGACACCCATTAGCCTCAAATATCCAGCGACTTCATAGCAGACGCAGCTGCTTTTCCACAGAAATATTTTTGCCCTCACAACCCCATAATCTTAAAGAACAGAAAAGAAATATGAAGAAATGTAGACCATGTTATATAAAATTAACTACAACTTTTAACTAAGAATTATTTAGACTTTAAATCAATTTGATTGAATTGCCGTTATAATTAATAACTGCAATTTTGCTTAATTTCAGCCTCACATATTAAGAATGTTTTGAAATGTATTACTAATGCATAATATTCTGATATTCATAACAACAATAACCAATATTATATTGCCATAATATTATAATTAGGTTGGATTGGTTAAAAAAAACAGATGAGTGTGAATGGAAAGTGAAAAGAAATATTCAAATTAATTAAATTTATTTATTTATTGAAAGCTTTTATTCAATTATATAATATTTAAAATATTATTATTCATGTCATCTTACTCTTGTGCAGTATTTTTTATATATGTAGCCTTAAAGGAAATCATAATTTTTATTGTTGAATAATTCTAGTGTAAATAAATGACAATGACACCTTTTCAAGGTGTATGTTTATGTATTATGCTTGCCCTGTAATGAACAAAATGGACTATTAAAGCATTAATTGTTATTATTTGTTAATCAGCAAATAATTTAATCAGCCAATTTTGTCATGATTATAAAAAAAAAAAATTTTTCCTAATAAATGTATTAATTGAATGTCTTGTTTTCCCCTCTCTCTTGTAGTCAAAAGCGGATGGGCAAACTCTTTCCTCTGAAGTGTTCAGACGGATCCATCTCATTGAGAGCGATTATTTTGGTCTGGAGTTTCAGAACCTGCAGATGAACTGGGTAAGTGGCCACTTGACAAACAGTCCCCCTGCTCACACAAAGACTGGATTGTGAATGGCCCGCTCCTCTGAAAACCCGGCTAAGCTTTTAAAAGACGAGGAGGTGTATTGTTGTTTGTGCTGCCTCTCTCTGGGCCCCAGAGGTTTGCTGGTCCCTTTAAACCTGCCTGATGCAGGCACACAAACTTAAAGAACACATCTTTATATTTGATAACATACCTGCAAATGGACCATGTCATTAAAAGATTTATACAGAATTACTACACACAAATGTGAAAGATTTTACATTTCACTAAAGTTCTGTGTATTGTGCCAGACAAGATTTTATGTATTTAAAGGATTTAGGGATGGAACGATTACCGGTTTCATGATAAATCACGATAAAATGCACTGACGGTTAGTATTACCGTTTAAAATTTAATTATCATCAAAACCGTGTTTGATTATCGCGCTTTTGAAAACTTGCGGTAAATCCTGTCCAGCCAGCATCAGTCTGACGCAGAAGCAGCATGCAATGTTGTTGTTGTTTTTTGTTTTTTTGCACGAGACGAAATGGCGGAAGGCAGTTGACAGTGCTCGGGAGATTTTTCAGCCATCTAAGAAGACCAAATCGGTGGTCTGGTCGTATTTTGGCTTTTACAAGAGTCCTGAAGGCAATTTAATCGAGGACGGTCACCCTGTCTACCGATCTTGCAAGAAGAAAGTCGCTGCAAAAAGGGGGAAATGCCTCAAATTTGCTCCGTCATCTTCGTGACCACCACCCACTGTTGTATAGTGAATGCAAGATAATTTTTACCTCAATACCAAAACTAACTGGGCAAATAATTGGACAAAAAATATTGATTAGAGATTTGAAGGGTGCAGGGCATTACTGTCTCGTATAAGCGTTTGAAACTCCCTTGGCGAAGGGAATGACTGACCAAATACCTTGATAACACTGCGCATGTGTGCAGCATTCAGTACTCCATCAGTTGTTGCAAATAAATTATTATATATATATATATATTATTTTATTCAAATATTGTCTAATTGTGTCTTATTTACTATTAAACGTTTTCAAACTAAACTTGCTTACACTACCGTCTTAAATCATATTTCTATCACTGACGAAAAATATGTTGTCTTACATTAAAATAGACAAATTTAATTAGCCTATTCCATTTATGTTTGTATGTGAACTCGAAATCAACCCCAACTTTGATTTAAAAGCATCACAAGATCTCCTAACCGAAGATTACATGATCTTCAAGTGATTATTATTATTATTATTATTATTAGGGCTTCATGTTAATGTTCATTTAATGTTTATGCTAAAGAAAGTGCATATAGCTGCTAATTGTATTAGTTGTTTGTTGATTTTCAAATATAAAACTTCTTTTCAGTGTGTCTATCGGTTCTTTTAGAACGTTTTCATCTAATTTGAACAAAACCGTGATAATATTGATAATCGTGATAACTTTGGTCACTATAATCGTGATATGAAATTTTCATACCGTTACATCCCTAAAAGGATTATATGATCCAGGCTAAAGTAGTAGCAAAACGTGAAGGTAAAGTATGTTATTTTTTTCAATCTTAAAATACTTACCATTGCTTAATAGACAGAGAAAATAAGTAATACATCGGTAAACTGATCGCAACACTGCCAATAGTGCGAGTTAGGGATGGAACTCTCCTTTTGTTTGACCAATGAAAGAAATGTTCAGGAAATCTTTGGGCAAACAGTCATAATTTTATTTTATTTTTTGCTGTCACAGGTGCAGAAATTACACACTTCACCTTTAAGACAGTTACATAGTCAATATAATCTTCATTTGCTGGCAAATTGTTTATTGTTATGTGCTTTACAAGGCAAGCATAAGCTATTTTAATAAGCTAGGCCTTTCTTTTTTATAATAAATAGGCTTAAAGGGATAGTCCAACCAAAAATGAAAAGTCTGTCATCATTTATGTTGTTCCAAACCTGTATTTCTTTCCTCTGTGGAACACAAAAGCAAATATTTTGAAGAATGTTGGTGACCAAACATTTTTGGTTCCCATTGACTTCTATTGCATGGACAAAAATACAATTGAAATCATAGGCAACTGACACCATTTGGTTACCAACATCCTTCAAAATATCTTCTCTTGTGTCCAACAGAAGAAAGAAAGAAATCTTTAGGTGTCTTGTAATGTTTTTGCTACAGCCTTGTTGTTGTTGTTTTTGTTTTGGATTTGAGTTTTGGTTTGGCTTAGTTTGGTTTGGTTTTTGCTTGTTTGATTTGTTTTTTGTATTATTATTGAATTGTTTCATTGCTTAGAACTGTTTATTAAAATACATTTTTAGTCACTATGGAGAAAATAACTGGGAAAAATACTGAGGCTGCTGAAAAAGGGCTGTTGTGCTGTATAAACCCACTTGCATAGCAGTTTAATTATTGCCATAATGCATCTTTTTTTCATCTTGGTTTCTTTATTATTGGCGGGAAAAAAAAAAATAATAATTTTGAGATGAATACTGGAGGCAGTCTGTTGGCCATCTGTTTTTGAGTGTGCCAAGCCAGTTTCTTTGGAAAGAGTTGAATCCGGTGTGGAATTTGTGTGTACGGGGTTGTTGTGATGATTCTGTAAAAGATGAGAAGTCAGTGGAGTGGAAGGAGCTGGAGGTGGAGTGAGAAAAGGTACATTCTTGCCACAATCAGCTCCAGATGTGCTTGGAGGAGCAGGTCGTCTACAAACTCAGTTAAAACAGATCATCCACATCTATGCAAGACCCCAAAACAGGCAAGCACAGAGAACGATTCCTGAAATATGTTTTTGGTGTGGTCAGCATCTCAAGATCTCATCTGTGGCCTCTGCAACCGAGATGTTCTTCAGTTTTAATGCTTTCTTGAGAGACCAGAAACAGATGTAGTTTGAAAGAGTGAGGGATTATTTGTATTATTTATTTCTTAGACTTTATATGGTAGTTAAAAGCTGAAATGCCAGTCTTTTTACTCTTGGTGGTTTTGTTTCTACAGGTTTGGCTGGAGCCCACCAAGCTCTTAGTGAAACAAGCGAGACGTAAGTTGACTTTCTGTTTTGTGTTGTGTTTAGACATCAGAGGATCTTGGGGGTCTTTGAAGCCTGTGTGTTTATACTTACTATCCACAGGGCCAATGAACACACTCTTTCGGCTGTCGGTGAAGTTCTTCCCTCCAGACCCTGGTCAGCTTCAGGAGGAGTTTACTAGGTAAGATGTTCAGAAATCATCATCCATCCTTTATGTACTCATAGACAAGGTGAACCGTGCTTGTTATTTGCTTTTTTTCCAGGTACTTGTTTTCTCTGCAAATCAAGAGGGATCTAATGGAGGGCCGACTGAACTGTACGGAAAACACTGCCGCCCTGCTGGCCTCTCATTTGGTGCAATGTATGTATAATATGAGATCAAGTCCTGACTCCTGTCCTTCATAATGTTTTAATTCTATTATGTTACACCGATTCTGTTGTGTCTCTGCTTTGTAATGTTGTTGGTCATTGACATGATTAGTTCTTTCTGTCTCTTATTAATCGATTCAAAAATGCATTAAAAATGGAATTCATACATTCAGTGGCTTGAATATAGTGTGTATGAATGAGGGGCATAAAGTAAAAAATGACAACATTCACAGAGAATAAAACATGGAACAATTGATATCACTTAGATGACTCTTGCATCTTACTTTCTTACTGTGTATCAAGGTCAGAAAGTATTTTGAAATAACAGAACATTTGACATTTTGGTATTTATTTAAGGTTATTTCAAGTAGTAAAATATCCTTTGGTGCAACCCCCAAAATAACATAATGTTCAAAATCTTTTAAAAATGTTTTTGAAAGACATCTCTTATGCTCACCAAAGCTGTATTTATTTGATCAGTAAAAACTGTAATCTTGTGAAATATTTTTGCAATTTAAAATAGCCATTTTCTATTTTTAATAGAATTAAAAATGTTTTTTTTTCCCTGTAATGGCAATGTTAAATTTTCTTTAGCCATTACTCCAGTCTTCATTGTCACGTCATCCTTCAGAAGTCATTCTAATATGCTAATTTGGTGCTTAAAGAGAGCGTTCATCCAAAACTAAAAATCAGTCATTATTTACTCACCCTGGTGTTGTTCCAATGTCGTATGCCCTTCTTTCTTTTTCAGACCACAAAAGAAGAAATTTAAAAAAATGTCTTGCTTGTCCGTATAATGGCAGTGAATAGCGACCAGCATCAATCTATTTATTTATTTTATTTTGTAAAGAGATGCAAATGTATCACAGAACACGTCACATGCCATATATTCCAAGTGTTTTGAATATTTGTAAAAAATTTTAATTTTAAACATTTAATTTTAAGGGTTTAAAATGGTCTAAAAGTTTTTCAAAACCATATGAAACCAACATGAATACAAGCAGCACATTTCTAAGAACTTGGCACATGTGTTTTTGGTTTTTCTTTTTCTTGGCCACTCTTATTTATCTTTGACCCTTTATGGTTCTCTTTTCCCCCACACAGCTGAGATCGGTGACTACGATGACATAGCAGACAGGGAGTTTCTGAAGATTAATAAATTGCTGCCATATCAGGAACGTGTGCAAGAAAAGATCATGGAGCTCCACCGCAGACACATGTAAGACATTTATTGTTTTGGCCTGATGGTCTAGGCTTGTGCATTGTTCTCTTTAATTTATCTCAGCCTGTCAGGCTTTGCATTTGTAAGTTTCACTGAGCTCTTTATCATGTCCAGTTTAGTTGGAAGCGTTTGCGTGGTATGAGAGGCCTTTTTTTCAAGTGGAACATCTAAATGAACTTTAAATACAGACTCCCCTGGTAATCTTGAATGACAGTCTGTTTACATTTGGTGTTGAGTTTATTTGGCGAGAAGAGATCTGATAGTGTGTAAGTGATTGTTGTGTGTGGCAGTTTATGGGATTTAAGCGCAGTTAAATGTGGACTGCAGTTTCTCTCTCTGCTTGAACTTTGGAAAGATGTTGTTTTAAGAGCTTGCAGACACTATTAGACATATGATAATATGGGACAGATAATCCTTCTATTTGCTCTGAATGGATCATCCTTCCAGATAAATAAATAATGATCTAAAATGTAATGTTTGAGCAGCATTTTCATTATTAGTTATGCATTTGTTGCTCATTCTAAGTCCCTATCAAACGTTAGATGTAAGTTTTTCCACAGTGTTTGTGGTACAGACATGAACGATGATTAAAAACGTGTCCTATGACATTTGTAAGCAGTGAGTCTTATAATTGAATTTTATTTTATTTTTTTGCCTGGCAGAAGACAAAATGGGCTAAAAGAAAAAAAATCTAATTTAAATTGAAGAAGATATATGTGCCATATCTAGGAGTAAGAATATCTTGGGAGTCAAAAAAATGTTAAAAACAATGTCTTGTGATACCATTGTTGTCAGTTTTTAGTAAAATCTCAAGCATATCAGACTTGTGTTTTTGGCTCTTTGTAACGGTGCAGTTCCGGTGCATTTAATCTGAGGCTTTGGCTGTGAGAGAAGTATTGCAGGTCGGCCGTGTCAGCGGCTATGTGAGGCTGTGATTGTAATCTAGTGGCTCAAGGCTCTTTATTAGCCATACGGCCACAAGGGGAGGGGAGGGACTTAAGCAGATTGAACAGCTTAAAGGATGAGCAAAATTAGAGTGCACTGATGATCTGGCACTGCTCTAACATTTGCCCACGATTAGCCAGAATGCTACTCAACATTACTGGAATATGTTTGCCCAGCCCCCACACTTGGCGTTGAAATGGTAGGATAAAGTATCTTAGTTTCCACAAAATATTAAGTAATCACTTGTTTTCAAGTTTTTAAGCAACGACTGTTTTCAATGTTGATAATAAGAAATGCTTCTTGAGAAAGCAAATCAGCATATTAGAATGATTTCTAAAGGATAAAATAATATATTATAATATAATATAATAATATATTATAATATAGTGTTTTGGAGAATGGATGGTAAATGTATGTTTAAATGAAGTTATTGTAAAGTGAGTACAGAAGATGGTTTTAATGTAATTGTGGGGCAATGTAAAGGTTGAAAACCTCTGCTATAAACAAAGCTACAAAATATGCTTTACCACTCCTCATTTTCCTTTGAATTCTTTTTGCTGTGGTACTGTGTTTTATTTGTTAAATATTTTCTCTAATATTTGTCTTTGCTTCCTCGCCTGTAGTGGACAGAACCCAGCAGAATCAGATTTCCAGGTTCTGGAGATTGCTCGTAAATTGGAGATGTATGGGGTTCGCTTTCATTCCGCCGCTGACCGAGAAGGCACCAAGATCAACCTGGCTGTCGCACACATGGGCCTGCAGGTCTTTCAGGTAAATGAGCAGCTTTATTGTCTTTCAGAATATAATTGATTTCGTAGTGTTCTAAAAAAAAAAAAAAAAAAGGTGTTTTTAGTGCTCCTTTTTAGTCATGGAGCTCCACCGCAGACACATGTAAGACATTTATTGTTTTGGCCTGATGGTCTAGGCTTGTGCATTGTTCTCTTTAATTTATCTCAGCCTGTCAGGCTTTGCATTTGTAAGTTTCACTGAGCTCTTTATCATGTCCAGTTTAGTTGGAAGCGTTTGCGTGGTATGAGAGGCCTTTTTTTCAAGTGGAACATCTAAATGAACTTTAAATACAGACTCCCCTGGTAATCTTGAATGACAGTGTGTTTACATTTGGTGTTGAGTTTATTTGGCGAGAAGAGATCTGATAGTGTGTAAGTGATTGTTGTGTGTGGCAGTTTATGGGATTTAAGCGCAGTTAAATGTGGACTGCAGTTTCTCTCTCTGCTTGAACTTTGGAAAGATGTTGTTTTAAGAGCTTGCAGACACTATTAGACATATGATAATATGGGACAGATAATCCTTCTATTTGCTCTGAATGGATCATCCTTCCAGATAAATAAATAATGATCTAAAATGTAATGTTTGAGCAGCATTTTCATTATTAGTTATGCATTTGTTGCTCATTCTAAGTCCCTATCAAACGTTAGATGTAAGTTTTTCCACAGTGTTTGTGGTACAGACATGAACGATGATTAAAAACGTGTCCTATGCCATTTGTAAGCAGTGAGTCTTATAATTGAATTTTATTTTATTTTTTTGCCTGGCAGAAGACAAAATGGGCTAAAAGAAAAAAAATCTAATTTAAATTGAAGAAGATATATGTGCCATATCTAGGAGTAAGAATATCTTGGGAGTCAAAAAAATGTTAAAAACAATGTCTTGTGATACCATTGTTGTCAGTTTTTAGTAAAATCTCAAGCATATCAGACTTGTGTTTTTGGCTCTTTGTAACGGTGCAGTTCCGGTGCATTTAATCTGAGGCTTTGGCTGTGAGAGAAGTATTGCAGGTCGGCCGTGTCAGCGGCTATGTGAGGCTGTGATTGTAATCTAGTGGCTCAAGGCTCTTTATTAGCCATACGGCCACAAGGGGAGGGGAGGGACTTAAGCAGATTGAACAGCTTAAAGGATGAGCAAAATTAGAGTGCACTGATGATCTGGCACTGCTCTAACATTTGCCCACGATTAGCCAGAATGCTACTCAACATTACTGGAATATGTTTGCCCAGCCCCCACACTTGGCGTTGAAATGGTAGGATAAAGTATCTTAGTTTCCACAAAATATTAAGTAATCACTTGTTTTCAAGTTTTTAAGCAACGACTGTTTTCAATGTTGATAATAAGAAATGCTTCTTGAGAAAGCAAATCAGCATATTAGAATGATTTCTAAAGGATAAAATAATATATTATAATATAATATAATAATATATTATAATATAGTGTTTTGGAGAATGGATGGTAAATGTATGTTTAAATGAAGTTATTGTAAAGTGAGTACAGAAGATGGTTTTAATGTAATTGTGGGGCAATGTAAAGGTTGAAAACCTCTGCTATAAACAAAGCTACAAAATATGCTTTACCACTCCTCATTTTCCTTTGAATTCTTTTTGCTGTGGTACTGTGTTTTATTTGTTAAATATTTTCTCTAATATTTGTCTTTGCTTCCTCGCCTGTAGTGGACAGAACCCAGCAGAATCAGATTTCCAGGTTCTGGAGATTGCTCGTAAATTGGAGATGTATGGGGTTCGCTTTCATTCCGCCGCTGACCGAGAAGGCACCAAGATCAACCTGGCTGTCGCACACATGGGCCTGCAGGTCTTTCAGGTAAATGAGCAGCTTTATTGTCTTTCAGAATATAATTGATTTCGTAGTGTTCTAAAAAAAAAAAAAAAAAAGGTGTTGTTAGTGCTCCATTTTAGTCGACGAGTGATCACACATGTATATATGCATTAGGGCTGTCAAAAAAAATCAAATTTCGAATATTCGTCGAATTTAAAATAAAAATCCACATTCGAATGCAAAAATTTGTGCGTTAAGGAGGCAGCCTTATCAGTGGCACATGAGATGCTATGACGATGTAAGTGTCGTTGCATTATAATGTTTTTGTTAGCCTATCCAATTGAAGCCATTAGATGCGGCGCTGCTGTGTTGTTCATTAAAAATATTGTGGAAAAAGAGAACATCAATGCAGAGATGATGTTGTTTACATCAAAACTGAAACCAAGCCGTTCACACACAACGCGTATTTCGTGCATTTTCTAGAGGGACATCTATTACCCTTGCACTCGCATCTCGCACAAAGGAGCCGCATGTTTAGAAAGCCATGTAAAATTAAAAAACATATATCGAGACTTTATGGCGGTTTTTTCCCCCCATCCCACTGCATTTCATGTTTTTAAATGAGAAATTCACTCTGTGTGATTGGCTTTCCGCCCTTTGTATTAAACTATGCATACATACATGATGCTGTTTTGTTTATAGTTGTTTAAGCAACTTAATTATAATTGTAATATAAATAAACATTATTTTAAACATTATGCACTTTTTTCACAGATAGTCATTTTATCTTATGCTTTGAATAAACGTGCATTAGTAATATTTTACCAAAAGCTTTTCTTCACCCTAACTGAAATTATGCATTTTAAATTCTAATATAATTCGAATTTTGATTAATATTTAAGTATAAAATTCGAATTGGGAGTTTTTCAGCCATTTTGACGGCCCTAATAAGCATGTATTTGTTTTTTATTTATCTGCCTGTCTTTTTTTTTTCAGGGCCACACCAAAATCAACACCTTCAACTGGTCTAAGATTCGGAAGCTGAGCTTCAAGAGGAAACGATTTTTAATTAAATTGCACCCAGAAGTTCATGTGGGTATCAAATTTATATTATATATTGTTAAATAATAATATTATTTGTCAATTTGCAAACATGTAGACACACTGCCTCAATTTAAAAGGGACAGAATATAGTCTAATATGACAACAAGGACACAATTTCATATGAGAGAAGACTCAAGTCAGAATGTCAATACATACCTCCACCAAAATACACAATTTTGAAGAAATACAATGCTGTGAAATCAGCCTGTGGACTCCCGGGACATACAGATTCAAGTGTAGAAGTAATGTGTTCAAGCTCAGGAACTTGGTTGAATGGGGCCATCTCTTACCCCATGTAAGCATTTTAAATGTATTCAGAGTGACGTTTGTTATTCTGTCGGGATCAATTACATGGGGTGCTAAGAATCTGAACCATATGTTTCCTCTTGTTGCCTTTCATCTGAGATGGAAGTTCTCAAGTTCAGTCTTTTCTCAGTGAATGATCAACTTTTCGTTCCACAGGGTCCTCATCAGGATACGCTGGAATTTCTAATGGGCAGTCGAGATCAGTGTAAGATCTTCTGGAAGAACTGTGTGGAACATCACTCTTTTTTCCGTCTGTTAGATCAGCCTCAGCCCCAATCCAAAGCCATCTTCTTCAGCAGAGGATCCTCCTTCAGATACAGGTGCACTACTGTGATTATATTGATGTGGGTTGGTAATATACTATTAAACATGGTGTTCCAGAAGAAATGTTCAAATATTGTTTCTATTGTGGTTATGCTAGTGTTTCCTGCACTGCTTATTAATGCATGTTCATGTCTTTCTATTCAATTGTCCTTATGAGTTCCAAGCAAAACAAACATACAGCTCAACCAGTGTAACAGAGTTACTAGTTAAATCAGCCAGAAGAATCCTTCTGAATGAACTGACTAAAGGCCCCGATATACTTCAAACGAAATCAAAGAACAAACTGATGTGACGCCATTCGAAATGGCTTGCCAAAGCAAACTTTCCGGAAAAGTTTGTTCCGACTGCAAAACACATTCGTACTACCATTGGTCTGTGACGAATGCGGAAAAGGAGTTGTGCGCTGAGGCGCCACCATCTTTAATACAGAACTCTTCTCTGGGTTAATTTCATCTGTCGAGTCCTTGGAGGTGAGATGTCCGCGGGTAAAAACTGAACACAGTGAAGAGTCGCTTTATAGTAGCAAATTAAGTTTTGATTTTGATTAAATGAGACACTGACACTGTTTTTCATGTTTAATACTGCTGCTTGCTTTTAATCAATGTATTGAATAAAGTGCCATGTAAATACATACGACGTGACTTCACGGGAGTGCTAATTTGCAGACCTCGTGCAAGCATACAACCCTCTACATTGTGAGTAAATCACTCGCATATGCGACTAAATATTCACTCTGGGCGACTAAATTATGGCTAATAAATTTTCAGATTTTACTCGCCAGTGTCTGAGTTGGAGGCTGAGTATATGATTAGCACAGATATATTTTCACTCACAGAACACTCTGACTGAGCACTTCAGAGTTTCGCTCTCCGTCAAGCGATCTGTGATATTTTTCAGTTCATTTGAATGGATGCGCAGCGCACCTGTGTTTGTGTATTTGGCGTAACGTAAACTCTAGTGTGAAGGTGCACGACTCGCCGTCGCTTTCTCATACGCACAAAGAGCGAGAGCGAGCGAGAGTCTTACATAACATGCAGAATTGATGCGCTACATGTAAACGATATACTTTGTTGTATTTTCCGATATACTTTGTTGAGTTCCTTTGGAATTCTTCAGCTTTTAAGTACTGTCGGGTTTTCCTGTAGTAGGCGGAACTAATGCGCAAACGACAATCTCATTGGCTGGTGCTCAGCTAGTATCTTCTATTAATTAAATAATACTTGATTATCATATTATAATGCTTGACTGACTGACTGTGTACTTTCAGATATTTAAAAAGCTGTACCATTTTACAAACATTATATATATATATATATATATATATATATATATGTATAGTATTTCAGTCTGGCAAGTAAACAAAAAAATTTACTAGCCAATGGCGATTCAATTGCCAAGGTGTCCGTAGAGGGTTGTCATACCCATGTTGCTATGAACAGATGCTTTTAAAAAAAAAAGCTTGCTGTTCTCTCCATTTTTTTGTTGTTTATTTTGTTACTGAGAGGAAAGCGCGCAGCACAGATTTACATATTCATATAAACGTTGCTTTCAATCAGAGTGGGTGGCATCGGGATGTTCGATAACAGTATACCGCTACTCACTCATTTCGAACTTCTTTTTACCCCTAAGCGAACAATGAAAAAGAACTTTGTTTTGAGTATATCGGGGCCTTAAAAGGTCAATTTTACTTAAAAGGTATTGTGGGTTCTCATAACTTTTACAAAATTAGTTTTTCAGTACCAATGGTTCACAGTTACTATCAGTGCAATTACAGTAAAATACAATTGAGTAATATCTGGAACTCTGCACTTAACATTAGGTAATAAGTAACTAAAAGTAACTGTGGGCAGTCGTGGCCTAATGGTTAAAGACAGAGTCAGACTTGTAACCCGAAGTTTGCAGGTTCGAGTCTCAGGTCAGGGAGGAGGGAATTGTTGGTGGGGGGAGGGAATAACCAGCACTCTCTTCCACCCTCAATACCACGACTGAGACAAGACCCTTGAGCAAGGCAGCGAACCCCCGAATGCTCCCCGGGGGTGCCGCAGCAATATGGCTGCCCACTGCTCTGTGTGTGTGTGTGTGTGTGTGTGTTCGCTACTGTGTGTGTTCACTTGAATGGTTTAAATGCAGAGCACAGATTCTGAATATGGGTCACCATACTTGGCCACATGTCACTTCACTTCAAAACGGTTTTCAGTATTCCATAAACACCATCCAAAATGTGACGTTTTTTATAAAAAAAAATATATATATATTTTAAATTATTTAATGATAAAGTTGCATTGCACTGTACATTACTGTTCAAATATAAGATTTTGTCATTGTGTTTGGAAGTTGGTTTGGAAGGTATTTTTTAGTGGTTTTAGTATTTAATGTATTTAGGTTTTTTTTGGTAATCATTTTTCCATATATTGTGAGGTACACTATCAATCAAAAGTTTGGGTCAGTAAGATTTAAAAAAAAAAATAAATAAATTAACACAACACATTAAATTAATTGATAGTGACAGTTAAAAAAAAGTATAATGTTACTAAAAATTTATATTTCAAATAAATACTTTTCTTTTGAACTTCCTGGTAATCAAAGAATCCTGGGAAAAAGATGCATCACGGTTTCCACACATTATAATCTTTATTAGCGGCATAACTGTTTTCAACATTGATAGTAAGAAGAAGAAATGTTCTTGAAAATTCAGCTTTTTTTTCACAGGACTAAATAGCATTTTAAATTAATATTATATATAAATAGAAAAGTTATTTTAAGTGTAGTAATGTTTCACAACATTAGAGTTTTTACTGTATTTTTGATCAAATAAATGCAGCCTTGGTGAGCATAAGAGGCTTCTTTCAAAAACATTCAAACATCTTACCAACCCCATACTTTTGAACAGTAGTGTATATCACAGGTTTTTTTTTTTTTTTTTTAAGAATAATGTGATTACAAGTTGGTGCTTTTACCACCTATCTGTACTTTTAGGTAAAAAAAAAAAGTGTTTGACTTGGTTTGTTAAAACGCATTGTGTATATGTGACAGTGGGCGGACACAGAAGCAGCTTGTTGAGTATGTGAGGGACAGCGGCTTGAGAAGAACTCCTTACCAGAGGTAAATATTTCTTTCATAGTTTCACCTGAAAGCAGTTTTATACTGTATACTGGACCATCCTTCATAAGCCCCTTTGTTGTTCGTGTTTGCACTGATATGCTGTTTTTACAGGAGGAACAGTAAGGTTCGCATGTCGACACGTTCCTTGGCTTCTGATGTGCCAAAACAGGTAAGTAGAGTCTTAGATCAGGGACAGCCAATGCCAATATCAACATGAAGAACAATAACCTCTGACTTTGTTTTCATCCACTCTCTTTACCTTACCCATCTATTTCAGAATCTGTTTTTTAATGACAATCTAAGGTCTCCAGTACCTCCTTCCGCTGTCACCGCCTCCTTCCACTCCCTGCATGCTCCCAGCTCGCCCATGCGGACGGAGACCCTGAACCAGCCCGTGCATCTCCAGCAGACACAGCAGCCCGCCAGAGCCCCCAGCCCAATGCAGCAGGACTCCATCAAGACCAACTCCCAATCCACCTACGCCTTCCCAGGTGCCACTCATATCCAGGCAGCAGGAGACTGCAGCCCCTCGTTTGTGTGTGTAGAGAGTAGTTCCTTTAGTGCACGGCCCTCACAAAATGGCAATGAGGATAGCGAGCGAGTAGGGGTTGGTGGCGTAAGCAGTAGGGCAAAAACAGGCTTTCTCACACCTGAAGCGTTTGAGGCAGAGTTAATGCGCGTTCGACAAATGCCGTACCAGATCCCAATGTCCTGCACACAGTTGCATGTTAGCGAAGAGTACATCGATGACGATCCGGCTGAAATTTCATTTTACGCTGGGGGTGCGGAGGCCTACTATTATGGGTTTGATGAAGAGAGTCCTGAAAGGTTCGAATATGGCCATAGAATCTCTGTTCAGCCCACTGCGTACACTCTCAGTCTCGAGGACCTCAACGGCAATGCTAACACGTTCCCTGAAAGTGCTTTTGGCCGATCTGAGACCAGTTCTCTGGTCAACAACCGCTCCGAGTGTAGCTCGCTGGATAACCTTCCACTAGGTTCTGTCGGCGACTCGCTCTCACTCGGTTTTGGAGGTCCCGACTCCTCATCCTCCTTGCGTCTGCCTGGTTCCGAGAACCTTTCTGAGGCCAGCTCGATGGTTAACTTCCCTGCGTATTCAGTGCGTTCGGAAGACAGTTCGGCCATGCAGTTCAATGATCTAGTGGAGCAGCTGGAGCAGCTCAGCTATCCGCCCACAGCCACAGAGGGCTCAGCTGATGGCAGCTCTGATTCCGACTCTGACTGGGGGTCGGATGGAGGTCTGCCTCCAGATCAAAACCTCCTCTTTAGCAATCCACTAGTGAGTGGGGCAGATTTAGACAACTTCCTGCTGGAATGCCAAAATTTCAGGACTCTAGGCATTGGGGAGCCCCCACCAGACCCCACCCATCTTAAAATGTAGCGTGACCCCCATGTTTTTAATGCAAAACATGACCAAGCACTTAATTATCCACCTTATCCTGATATAATCAGTACTTAAAGTTTTGGCACTTCCTGTTAGCGCTTTAATCTACCACTTTTTTTCTTACATGCCCTTTCCAGTGTACTTCCTCTATCTCTCTCTTTGGTGTTAATTCATTCAGTTTTTTTTTTATTGTTTTTGAATCATGTGCTGTGAGTTTTTGTAGGACAGTAAGATTCATTAGCATTTTTTAGATTATATAGTTCATTTATTATCCGTTTACATTTAATCTTAGTAGTCTGGATGGCTACAAACTAAAGTTACACTGTGACTTTTGAAGAGGAAAATTAAACGGCTGTATCACCTAGAAATGATATCATATACATATTTTCTCATTTATAAGCATTTGGATCTTTGAAAAAACAAACAAAAAAAATTATTGCATTTCTAGATTCGTCCATATTAGGGCTGCATGGCATGCAGGAGAAATGTGATCATGGCTACATGCATTACATATAAGAATATTGCACAAATCAATTTATTTTTTATATTTAATTTTTTTAGTTGATTTAAATCCAGGAAATGATGAAACATCTGGTATGCCTGGCTCTTGTTTTCCTGGGTAAAGAAAACATCCCTCAAACTTCTCAAAGTCTTGCAATTCTTGTCCCTATGAATGTTTTGACCTTACGTGTGAGTTCAACATTGATTTTCATAGCAAATATTCATTCAACAGCTGAATTAAATTGTCTGAAAATGAATAAGGAGAAAATATAGATTACTAAGATAAGCTTTACATGCATGTATGAAGGTACTTTTATATCAGGATAACTGCATGAGTCTTTTCCATTAATGAACCACTCTACTCAGGGCTGTGATTTAATTAGCAGTGGACCTGACAGCCATTGCTGCTAAGAGCAAATTTGAGGCGAAGTTATTTTTGTTTTTGTTACTTTAGAGTTAGTCACTCCACTCTGCCCCCTGCTGTTTACCTTTCAGAAATGTTTTGCATGTCCGCTCTTCCGATTGGACTATACGGCTGCATTTACACTGACAGTCACTGACACAGATTGGACATTGTTGCATGTATGTCAAAACACTTTTTTTTGGCATTGAATTTAAGCCATTTGCAAATTTCACTTTCAAATTTGCCTTTTGACTGTCTAATTAAGTCTTAAAAAGATTATTGGATCTGTGCATGTTGCTTTGCAGTGTGAGCCTATGAGTCCTTTTTTAAAAAAAAAATTTTTTTTTTATCAACTCATGGTCTGCAAGTAAAGAAAAATAAATTTTTGAGGTCGGTAAGATTTGTTTTAATGCTTTTGAAAGACGTCTCTTATGCTCACGATAGCTGAATTTATTTGATCAAAGATACAGTAAAATTGTGACTTTATAATGTAAAATAAATGCTTTCTATTTTAATATTTTGTATATATTATATTCAAAAGAACAGCGTTTGAAATGCTTCAAGACTTACACAAATATTTTGCAGCATACGTATGTTTTTACTGTCACTTTTGATCTATTTAATGTCTTGTAGAATAAAATAATACATTTCTTTAAAACTAAGTCTTACTGACCCCAAAAATTTGAACAGTAGTGTAGCTTTTTACTTTCAATCAAAGAATGTAAGTAGTTGAGTATTGTAATGTGCTGTCAATACCACTGCTAAGAAAGTGAATGTAATATAGAGCTTGAATTCTAACCTTATGCACATTGTATGCACGTAGGAGCATGTGGACCTATAGAAACCAGAGTGATAGTCAATTGTCCCCAATTACAATTATGGTTCGATAAAGTAAAACATTTCTATCATTAACAGTACGTCCAGTTTTGGCACATTTCTATGAATGTAGTGAACATTTCTTACTTTAAGTTCAGGAGCTATTTGCTTGTGCCCTGCAATTGATTTATAGAACTTTGAACTTTTCTGCCTTTTATCAAATAGCTTTTTCAATATGATTCAGGTATTATAGTTTGTTTAATTACTTTTTATTTTTTTATTTTTGTGCAATTTTGGTGTATCCACTTCTGGCTATATTCTTGCAATTATTTATTCTACAAGTACTGCAGGTTTGCTTTTGGAGCACTATGACTTGCTTTCGAAGCACTTAGGTTTATTCCTGAACCTTTTGTCTGTGCTTAATACCTTTGGGTGTCTCTTTTCACGGTTTAACTTGACCTTTAATTGCCTGTTAATGCCTCAGCGCATTCATATAAATGGCACTCCTAATGATGCAAACTATTACACAGTGCCTTAATGGGTAACATCAGCTCTGTGCAGCTGTGTTTCTGTATGACATCCAGACCACATAAATGCCTTGGGTTTCTGTTCTGGGGTCTGGAGTGAATAACACTGTCTGTGTGCCATGAGTTCTGTGAGCTCAAGATGAGACGCAGACAATGCAGTTTGTGTCGTTTCCTCTTCCTTTCTTGAAATCCCCATTTAAAATCCTGCCATGTTACTCTGCTTTACTTCACTGTGTGATTCAGGCTCTTCTGTCCTTTGCATTAATTTTTCAGTCCATTTTAATGATTAAAATGTATTACACTTGCTTTCACCACCCAGTATCTCCTGTCAAAACGACGAATACCCTGAATATCACCCAATACTAAACTAAACTCCATTTTTCCATTTGCAACTAAGTGGAACTATTTTGTAGTAAACAACAACCATTTTAGTATTAACCATAAGAATCCATTCTCATTGTCATTTTGAGAGCAATCGAAACATGGCCCATTACATTTTTTTTAAATTTGCATCCTATGGTTTTAAAGGTGCAATAGGTGATTGTCTTCAGAAACATTTTTTGTTATGCTGGTTGAAAGTCTCTTCACATCCCGATAGCAATCATTAAGTTCCAATTCCCAATTCCAGTCCTCGCGCCCACCTGCATATTTTGCATGTCTCGCTTAGTTAACACACCCGATTCAGATAACCAGCTCGTTAGAAGCGAGCTACGTGCATGAACTGTGTTCCGATCGATATGATCCCTACACAGTGTTCATTGCTCCCTACTCCCTGAGCAGGGGTAATCCGTTGACGTTTACTTCACTTCGGAACATGGGCTGGAATTGGGAACTGCTGATGTAGCCTATTGTAGTAATGTTGTCTCTGGTATTCTGGTCTGTGAGCGTATATGAGTTCAGTGGCTTTGGACAGCGATACAGGGAGGGTGGGACCGTTCGCTTTCAGTGCTATCAGGCTAAAGTTAGCATTTTCCAAGATTTCCTACTGCACCTTTAAACTACTGGTGCCTCTCTCTACTCCCACAAGCGAGGGCAGGCCTGGGCTGCTCTTAAACTCTGGGCAAGGCACCATTTGGCCATCCACCTAACGGTGCTTCCTTCACATCAGCTGAATCCACAGATCTCCCATCATGGACATAATGACTTTCTCTTTGTATTGACCATTATTATTATTATTATTATTACTACTATTATTATTAAGTGTTGCCAAATCTACTTTATAAAGTGACAGATGAAGTACAAATTAACCTTTTTTTTTATTTAACAAAATAATACTGTAATTCAGGAATTTTGACTGATTTTCTTTTAATTAACTTCAGCTTCACAAAGCCTGCACTAATGAAAAGTCGTCTTCTCTCATATAATCCATAGTAAAGCATTTGCTTTTTGAGGGCTGTTATGGTTTAGATTTCACTGTCCATTTAACACATAAAGCAGTTTTATTTTCAAGAAACCAATTTTAATTTACCTCAAATAGGTTTTATTCCTGTCAAACACGTCAGTATCTCAAGCTTGTGAATGTGTACCAGTTACATGACTGTTCTTGAGTCTGGACTAATGCATAATTACAGTATGCTCTGTTTTAATATTGATGCAATATATTTAATGTATCAGTGTTTTAATATCACACTGTTGTCCCTGAAGATCTTTTTCCATATCATGGATCATGATTATTATAATGTACAGCTATGAACCATTTTTAGCTCTCACCTTCCACATCTTAGCACTTCAGATACATTTCAAAACACATACATTTTGATGCTAGATAAACTCCTATAAGCTAGTGATGTGTTCTGATTTGTTTACAGGCACACTTTAAATATTGGTACAAAAATGCAGTTTGTTTGCAGTGTGGCTGTTTTTTAAGTGTTTCTTATAAGAGATGCAAAATACACGTTATAGTAGGGAAAATTTTCAATGTAGTATTGGAAAATTTTCATTGCTAGTGAAGGTGTCTCAAATTAATATTATTTTTCATTTTTTCGGTATTTATAACAAACTACAATGCACTTAAAAAATGTTCAAATACAAATGCTGTCAAGTTACAAAGTTAAGTCTCAGTCAGTCACAGTACTGCATCAGAAACAAGATTTTAGTTTTTTTTTGTTTTTAAAGAGGTATTCCTAGTACTTTAGGGGATCTAATGACAAAAGAGAACCTGACCAGATTTGCCTTTCTTTACCTGCCTTGTGCTTTACTTTATGCTTCCTCAGTATCAATATTTTTTTGTAAATTTAATTCTGAAATTAAGTGCTATTAATGCAAATACAAGGTCCTTAATGTACTAATGTGAAAATAGTGTACTTGTATGTGTGTGCGCACATTTTTCCCTTTGAAATAAAAAAAAAAACACTTTTGGGTAACTGGAATTTCAGACTTTTTTTGTACCCTTTTAAAAATGATTTAAGTGAAGCAAATGACTTTAAAAACTGAAACTGCATTAGCCCCTCTAATAACCTGTGTCCATACCTAACCTACTTCCATACCTAACTGTAATATGGTGTTCATTAAAATCTAATGCAGTTTTCTTAAACTGCTGGAATGCTTTTTTTATATATATATATATATATAAGGATGTAACCTTAATGGGGTTTTCAAGATTTGTGGTTTGCAGTGTTATTTTGATTAGTTCTATATTTAAGGAGCTATTTTCAATTACATGGATCAGTGCCAGTGTCAACATCTTGAGCCACCTATTTATCATCGTTTCTTTGAGAGTTTGTGGTTGAACAGTGAGCTAAAATACTAGAGGAAAACAAGCTGATGGCCAGGAAAGTGGGAGCAATGCTAAAACTAGTGGGAGCCAGTGTGTCTGGCATCATTTTGAATCCTTCTGTCTGTCAGTATGTTATATACTGCAAATAAGAGAACAATCAGCGAATCAAGGGTAAGTTCTCTTCTGTGTAGGGTAATGCCCTGGGCTTTTGTTACTAGTTAAAGTAAATGTATCCGTTTTAGCTTGTAAAATTATGTTGCTAAAAATAACATTATTTTGTGTATTTGGTGTAATGAAATGTGTTTGTGGTTTAAGGTTAAAAAAAACACATTATTTTCCACATACTGTACATTATTGTTTCTGCTCTATGCCCCGCCTTTCTGAAACGCGTCGATTTTTACAAAGCTCATCGTTCTGAAAAGCGAGGTGTGCTCTGATTGGCCTGCTATCCAGTGTGTTGTGATTGGCCGAATACCTCAAGCGTGTGATGGAAATGTTACGCCCCTTAACATACTGTGATGCCTTGTCCTGGCCGGAGCGATGAGACAAAAACATTAAAACCCATTATAAATGAGGCATTTGTTGCATCCAGTGGGGACATAATTACGGATTATAATGACTTATACGGCCTTTTTACGCGTTGCGCCGCGCAAACATAAAACCATGTCTGCATTTGTGATCGGAGAAATGACAAGTGCTACTATACACTGCTCAAAACTCTCGTTTGAATCGTCAGTGGCAAATTCTTTAAATATAAAAAATGTACTTACAGTCTGTGATTCAGAAATATCGGCATTGTGGTCTACTCTACCAGGATCAGGAAACAGTCATCCATAAAATGCACTGGACACATCTGAATATTTGGGTTGAACTGTTCTAGAGCAGTGTTGTAAATACACCTTAACAACTGATTTCTAGTCGTGTCCTCTTTTGGAAGACCAAACAAAGTAGTTTCGTTTGATGCAGGGCATAATGACATGCTTATTGAATTGACCGTTTCTAGATGCATGAAGGGTGTTTTGAGTGATAGGTTGTACTTGGTGGTTGCTAGGGTGTTCTAGGTGGTTGTTAGGTGTAGTAATTACCAAGTAATTACTATTTACATATTTGTTTAGTAGTAGTATTTAAATTATAATATTTTTTTATTTGATTTAATAAGCTCCTAAACTTTTTCTTTGCTTTTTAATTTTTTTTATAAAAATAAAATATTTAATAAACTCCTAAACTTAAAAAAAAAAAATCTATAAAAATCGAAATGATTTACTTCTATATTATTATTATTATTATTATGGTCTTTAACAGTATTAACTCATGTTCTCCCTTTCTTTTTTCATCCCGTAGACTCTGCCACTGACATCCCACAGCTCTCTCCCTTCAACACCAAGGGTCCTCTGTGTCTGTCGCCCTCTTTCCAGATGTCCACTCTCAGTCTTCCCGGCCAGGCACCTTCACCCCTGCAGAGCCCCATCTTGAGTGAGGTGGGCACTGCCAGACTAGAGGAAGACGAAGAGGGCAGGAGGAAGGTACACTGATCGCATACCAACCTGCCCGGGCCTGAATAAGAGTTGAAAACATTTATTGTTGAAGCCCAGCTCAGGGCATGCTTGGATTTGATTGAAATAAGGAGAGAAAAAAAATGAGTGGGAACCATTACCCAACTTTTATAGATTTATCAGACATTGACACTTTAAATATGTAATAGTATCTTGAAATATTTCCGAGTCAACTGAAGTTAGGTTAAAATTAGTTCTAGGTTCCACCTTACATTCTAGGTTCTGTGTTAAATTTGTAAGTTTAATGTTAAATTTTAGGTTCTGTGTTTGAAGTTAATCTTTACGTTAGTTTAGATGTTAACTTCTGGATTTTAAGTTCTGCTTTAATTTCTAGACTCTGAGTTTTGTGTTAAAGGTTCAAGGTTCTAGACGAACCTACTACGTTCAAAGATATGTTAATTTAGTTAAATTGTAGGTTTTGTGTTTGAGGTTGTACAGTGTGTTCTTGGCTAACTTCTACATTAATTTCTACATTAACCTTTATGTTTGAAGGTCTACATTAATTTAATAGATAAATTCTGATTTCTACATTAACTTCTAAGTTCTAAACTGTGCTAACATTTAAGATAAATTCTAGAATGTGTATTCCAAGTTAACTTCTACATTCATTTTTGTTAATTTCTGGGTTTTATGTAGGTTCTAAGTATTCTAAGATAAGTGCTTGGTTCTGTGTTCTGAATTAACTTATGTTCTACATTCTACATTCACTCCATAGAACATAAATGATCTTGCCAAATAAAATAGTGTTTAGAGGGTTTAATACAGCTTATCTAAGAATGGTTTTTAGTATGCTTTTATTTTCAGAGATATCCCACCGACAAAGCCTACTTCATTGCTAAGGAGATTCTGACAACAGAGCGGACTTACCTGAAAGATCTGGAGGTCATCACAGTGGTGAGCAGAGCTGTCTGTGCTCATGACTCATGAATATAACAAGTTTAGTGTGTGAGGCTTGTCTGGACAATGTATCCTGTGTGTTGTGTCAATTAGCTGTTGTGTATGTTTCTATTAATGGGTCTGTTAGATGAGCTTTTGTCTTTGAACTGTGTCTAATCACATTTGTGTGTGTGTGTGTGTGTGTATGTGTGTCCTCAGTGGTTCCGCAGTGCAGTGATTAAAGAAAACGCAATGCCTGAGGGTCTCATGACCCTCCTGTTCTCCAACATCGACCCCATCTATGAGTTCCACAGAGGTTTTCTCAAAGAGATTGACCAAAGGCTGGCTCTCTGGTACTAGTTCTTATTTAACAAAATGCAACTTGTTAGCATATATGACAATGTTAAACAAATTTTAATTTAACCCTACAAAGCCTACTGTATTATATTTGATACGCAAATTTGTAATACCTCTAAATTATCACAAAAAAAACTGTTGTATACAATCTACTACATGCTTTCTATTGTCTATTTAATACTTTTTAGCAAGAAAAATTCCTTTTAGTATATAGTTTTTAAAAATGTCTACCTTCAGTCTGTGGTGGTATATGTGAGATATAGAATGACAACTGATTTTTATATGCATATAATGCGAGTATTCTGTTATACTGTTATAAAAATCTCATTGATTTACATTACAAGCTATCAGAATTTCAACTTATTTTGGTAATTTAATTATCAGCAACTGCACTAAATTGCATATTTTTGCTTTGTTTTCAATAACTTTTTTTTGTTCTCCTCAAGTATGAGCTCCATATGTACTATGTCATACTATATGAACCATGAAAGCCTGATAAAAAACTATGCAAACTTAGTTTTTTTATGTTTGGTTTAAAGGTTCATGACAGGAATGCTATTTTGTCTCAGCCACTGATAATTTTCACATGTTCACAGGGAGGGGCGCTCTAACGCTCATGTAAAAGGAGATTACCAACGAATTGGAGATGTCATGCTGCACAACATGTGTGCTCTGAAGGTGAGGTTATAGTTCAGTTCTACAAACAAGAACAACTTCGATTTTTTATGTGAATTTTGGTGCAAGTATTCAGATCATCCATAATTTACGTGATGGGGTTGTTGCCTTCATAATCTCAGGAGTTCATAGGCTTTCTGCAGAAGCATGATGAGGTGTTAACAGAGCTTGAGAAAGCCACAAAGCGTGTTAAGAAGTTGGAGACTGTGTATAAAGAGTTTGAGCTGCAGAAGGTGTGCTACCTGCCGCTCAACACCTTCCTGCTGAAACCCATTCAGAGACTCATGCACTACAAACTCATCCTGGAGCGTCTGTGTAAGCATTACGCCCCCCAGCACAGAGACTACGATGACTGCAAAGGTGATTCTGCTACCAGCTAAACCGCAGATGTTTTTTTCGAAGAACGAACGCTTTTTCTTTAAGATCTGAGCATGATAATGAACGTCCACATTCTGTTTTTGCAGAGGCTCTGAAAGAGGTTGCAGAGATTGCTGCTCAGCTGCAGAGCAGTCTGATTCGACTGGAGAACTTTCAGAAGCTGACAGAACTTCAGAGAGATCTGATTGGCATTGAGAACCTTACGGCTCCGGGAAGAGTGAGTTGTTACCTTGTACCTGAATTTTTGTTTTGGTTAGTCAAAGTAGTGGATGAACTGGCGTACAGAACATCCCCTTTTAGCGTTATGAGCCAATTATACTATGGTCATGGTCAGAAATTTACTAAGTAGTATAAAATGTAACTCTGCATTCCTAGATTTACACTTTTTAAATGGCAGAAATCTTTAAGATAAAAGATAAATCTATGAGCTAGAAGATCATATTTCAACTCAGAATAGACAAAATATCGAGAAAGGTATTTAAAAGAGGGTTATAATAGCCAAAATAACAGCACTGTTCTTCACTGGAAAAGTTATTTCACCTCGATACAAACGCTCACTGTCATGGCAATCACACATTGCAATCTTCGTCTCATTTCTCGTTCGATTTGTGGCACACTGCTGGCAGGATGATAGTAATGTAGTTTTTAGAGCTTGGAAGCAATACAATAGACGTCAATGATTCACCCTTACATATGAGCATCTCACAAAATGAAGAGTTCTAGAGAAACAAGGAAATTGGAATTGTAGTTTGCTGCTTTATAATTAATTAAAGTCCGTAAGTAAAGTGCCCAGTTCATTTTTTTTTTCCTGCTCCTCTAGGAATTTATCAGGGAAGGTTGTCTCTACAAGCTCACCAAGAAGGGTCTGCAGCAGAGGATGTTTTTTCTCGTAAGACTGAACTTCTATTCTGTTTTGGCAGTTTTGATTTTAACCTCTGTCTGGGTTGACCAAAACCTTTTTCTGTCTTAAGTTTTCAGACATGCTGCTGTACACAAGCAAAGGGGTGACTGCAACCAATCAGTTCAAAGTTCATGGACAGCTTCCCCTCCATGGGATGATTGTGAGTATTCCCAGGAATTATTTATGGAATGGAATACTAACTGCATTATTGAATACGAAACAGTACGCATTATGTAGGGATACACATTCCAAACAGTAGTATGCTGAACATTGTCATGTCATTTGTAAAACCTTTGGGGAAAAAAGTCAAAAATGCTACTCCAAAAATCAAACAGGTTAGGACAAAACCAGAACAGATGTAATGGGGAGTCCTCTGTCGCTTTACAGCTATCACACATTGGAGAAATAGTGTTGTATATTTTATTTAGTCCAACTTTGAATAAATACAATCTGTGCACTACCTTAAACTGGATCAGCCTATGTCTAGCATTTATTGAACAAAATTAGATCCTACTAAGACATTCATTCCATGTTTCACCAGACAGGTCTACACCAAAATCCTTGGCCCAAGCTTCTTTTAAGTGGCTTGTGTTCATAGGCATCAGAAAAGCATTAACAAATCGTGAAATCAAATGGCTAGTGGTTGAATTTGACGTCACCTGATTTATGTTCAATTCAGCAAATGACTTTCAGTTAGGGCTTGGATTCAATGCCAAAAGGAGTTGAATCTTTGATTCGGAGGCTCTGGAAATCAAAAGTCAGCTCCAAATTTAAATCAGCTTCACTGAAGAGCCCGCCATATCTTGCCATTACCTGACAAATACTATCGTTGTGCCTGAAAACACATACTGAGTTGATACTACATTTGATGAAGAGCTTTCATTTACTCAACAGAGGTTGTTCTCGACATAATATACATGTTTTAAAAAGCTAAATGATCATAATTGCTTCTTTTTTTTTACAATTTGTTTTATCCTGCAAAAGAAGTACACACACTTCAGCTTATTTTGAATCTTTAGCAATCCCATCAATGTCTCATCTCTTATGCAAACCAGCTTGCCTGAATAAGCCTTTTGATGAATGGCTCTGTCCAAACAGTCTGCACAAGTGCTAGGCTGAGAGGATTTGCCCATCTTTAAACATGAGGAATATATAAAAGTATATTAAAATATATATATTTTTTAATGGTGATATTTCACAATATTACTGTTTTACTGTATTTTTCACCAAAGCATAAGAGACTTGTTTCAAAAACAAAAATAATCTTACAGATGTCAAACGTTTGAATTAACAGTAATATTATATTATTCTTATTTTCAAAGAAACATTTCCTTTAAAGGGATAGTTCATCTAAAAATAACAATTCTGTCATCATTTTACTCACCCTAAAGTTGTTCCAAATCTGTATGAATTTTTTTCTTCTTCTGCTGAACTCAAAAGATAATTTGAAGAATGTATGTAATCAAACAGTTGCTGATCCTCATTGCCTTCCATAGTATTTTTTTTTCATACTATGGAAGTCAGTGGGAACCATTAACTGTTACCCACAATCTTCAAAATATATATCTTCAACAGAAGACAGAAACGGAATAAACGGAATTTTTGGGTGAATTATCCCTTTAACTTTTGTCTTTGCTGTTTATCATCTTTCAGTAAGAGACTCTTTCTCCTCCACAGCTCCAAAGTAGAGATGAACAAATGGATTGAAGATCTGAACATGGCTATTGACATGTCAAAGAAATGTCAGGAGAAATCAGATCTTCTGTTGGACCCAAGCCTGTGTGATCGCTCCAACAGTAAGTATCTCAAGCCTGCTTACAGCGTATTCTTCCACTGTCCACACATGTGCAGGTCGTGATGTGTTTTTGTCCCTTAGCCTCTTTATCACTGATCCTGAAGTAGATGTAAACCCCATCGCTTCCGATTGCTCCTCCTCTCTCTCCCCTCTCCTCCTTCCTTCCTCTCCCTCCGCACAATCATAAGGATCATCAGATGAAGTGTCTCTGGAGCAGGAGTCAGAGGATGACATGAACTCTTCCCGCTGCTCTCTGGACAAGCAGAGCCACCACAGGGCCAACACCACCATGCATGTGTGCTGGCACCGCAACACCAGCGTCTCTATGTCTGACCACAGCCTAGCCGTGGAGGTAGCATTTACACACTTGCACACAGACACACACATTCATTTACAGTCTTCATGGAGCCTTATTGTGAAGGTCTTGACTACAGCTGCAGTGTACAAATGAAGGAACGTGACTCTAGCATGTGTTTGCAAAGAAATGTGTGGGTCATATTTCACCCCAGAATCAAAAGAAACTAATATTTTGGATAAAAAAGGAGGATTACTCCTTTCTTTCTTTCTTTCTTTCTTTCAGTACTTACATTTATTATTATTATTATTACCCTGAATTGTCAGTACAATATCAAAATTTGCAATCATATTTATTTTGTATTAATTTTTTTTGCTAATTCAGTACAACACATATTCTACAATATATTTTGACACTTCATGTTTAAATAATCATAAATAGTTTAAATAGTTAATTTATCTTTTAAGTTTATCATCAACTTACAGTTTATTTCTATCAGAAATGTTTAGTACATATTATTATTATTATTTTCATGTCAGCTATAATCATTTTCACTCTGAATTGTCAGTACTGTAATGCAAAGAAAATCTCATACTCTCTGAACTTATTTTTATTAATGAATTTTTGGTTAATTCAGTAAAACAGTTATACTACAGTTCATTTAAAGCATCATAAATTGTTTATATAGTTTATTTTTTATTTTAGTTTATCATAATTTAAAAAATTCATAAATTCAGTTTAAATAATGATTTAAATGTTTAAATACCAGTTTAAACAATTATTTTATTTTAATTTTAGGTTGAAAATTGACTCATGCTTTTAAGAGGTTTGGTGAGATTCACCCAGTTTGAGCTTTACACACATGAACAAGCACACACACATCTCTGAGGCTGGCTGTTGAGGTCTGGACTGCAACCGAAGCTTGAGAATGAGGGGCAAAGACTCATGGATCTTTTTTCTGCTTCTGTCTCCCTTTTCTTCAACACATCCAGTAGCTTCTCCACCCTCCCACTTCCATGTTTTCATGTCTGTAACATTTTTTCCTCTTTATTTGTTCACCAGTAACTGACTTTTGGAATGAAATTGAATGAATAAGTTAACATTTTCATGGATGCTTAATTTCTTCTTACATTTCTTTTCTACAGATTTGAAGAATTTTCAATCTGTCTTTTTTCCTCACTTAGGGATTGAAAGCTAACTTTCTAACACACTTTGTGTCTTCTGTTCTTCTTCTCTTTTTCTCCTTGTTGCCCTTTTTGTCTTCATCACTTTCTCTGCACCACATTATCTGTCCTTCTTCCTGTTGACATCTTTTCCTGTGCATGTGCTCTGTTTGCCTGCCTGCTCTCAGTATTCAGTTCTCCAGCCGTGTCTCCAGAGCTCCCCCCTCGCTACCTGCTCGGTCAGGGCCAGAGACCCAACACCATCACTCATGTGTGCTGGTACCGAAATCAGAACCTTTCTCTCAGTGACTATCTGCGCATGAACCAGGTACCAATGAGGTCAAAACCCCTCCAATAGCAGTCACCCTAGAGATTTGAAGACCTTCACTTGAATATGAAAACATTCAAATACAGTGATCCTCGATTATCTAAATCCATCCTTGTGGTGACACCCTAAAATGCAATAATACTGCATTTATTAATTAATCATTCATTCGATTTGTTAAAGCAATAAGCTCCAAGAGGAATTTATAACAGCTGAGGTGCATTGCTAAAACCCCCTTAGCTGTTATAAATTCACTGTAAACCATGGCTTCATGGGGCTTATTACTTTTATAAAACAGTTATTCCGTATATGTAGTAAGGTTTCACAAAACAAAACAGAGCAAATAAAGTGTAATGATATTAATAAAAACAGTATTCTTCCACCAAACAATGTAGTTCCTCGGAAACAGTTATGGTTGCAATAAAGTGGTTGCCAAGCAACACACAAAGTAAACAAAGATGTATGTTTGTAGTCATACATCAGTTTGGAGTTATTGTAGTTAAATGAAGTATTTTTTGCAATGGCTTCGAACGTGGCTCAACCAATCAGAATCAAGGACCGGAACTATCCGTTTTATAAAAATACAAATATATTTAAAAACTTTTTTTTTTTTAATGATATGTGTACATTTGCATCAACAACTCTCTCTGTCACTCATGACAACAGATCACCAACTCTTTGAAAATGCTTTATCATTGCAAATTCATTGTGACCCACTATGAGACCGTATTTCTCACTGCCCCATAAGAAGAATTGTGTAGAGAGTTACAAGCTCTGCCAGTGAAATTGAGACTTTTATTATGATTTCTTTTTTTCTTTTCTTTTTTTACCTGCTTATTTGGAAAATTGGTACTCTCTTCTTTAGCTTATTTTTTCCGTGTTTTGTACAGCTGTAAATTTCATTAAACTCTAATGCAGCACTAATGGTCTTTGTGCATGAGAGGTTCTTGCTTTGTTGTAGCAGTTAAATGTTCAACTTCCTCTTGCCCTCCATTACAGAACCAGCTGTCTGGTTACCTCCTAAGGAAGTTCAAGAACAGCAATGGCTGGCAGAAACTCTGGGTCGTCTTTACCAACTTCTGCCTGTTCTTCTATAAGACACACCAGGTATTGGAATATGTGCAAGCCGTTTGATGTATTTGATGTTCATTCTGAAAGATTAAACTTCCTGCAGGAGGTCTGAAGGTCTGGATAATTTCTCATTAATTCTTGTTTTTGTTCCAGGATGACTTCCCTCTGGCCAGTCTGCCGTTGCTAGGTTACACAGTCAGCACCCCAGAGGAATCGGATAGCATCCATAAGGAGTACGTCTTCAAGCTGCAGTTCAAATCCCATGTTTACTTCTTCAGGGCAGAGAGCGAGTATACATTTGAAAGGTATGGTTTTAAATATATTTATTAAAATAATTTATTCAAAATTATTCATTAGGTTATTCCTTGTTTCATATTAATGACTTCGTTTTAGAGCTGTCAATTGATTTCATTGCGTCTTTTTAATGATTTGGTAATTTATTGAATTAATGTACACTGCTGTTCTAAAGTTTGGAGTCTGTAAGATTTTTTTTCTAAAAACGCTTTTTAAAGAAGTCTCTTATGCTGACCAAGGCTGCATTTATTTGATGAAAAATACAGTAAAATAAGTAATACTGTAAAATGTTAATACAATTTAAAATATCCTTATTTCATATATTTAAAAATGTATTCATTCCAGTGATGGCAAAACTTAATTCTCAGCATCATTACTTCAGTGTCTCATGATCCTTCAGAAATCATTCTAATATGCTGATTTGATGCTCTATAAATCATCTATTATCATCATGTCGAAAACATTGGTGCTGCTTAATATTTTTGTGGAAACGGTGATAGTTTTTTCAGGATTCTTTGATGAATAGAAAGTTTAAAAAAGAACAGCATTTATTTGAAAAGGACGTTTTTAATAACATTATAAATGCCTTTTAATCATCCTTTCTGAATAAAATATTCTTTCACAAAAAATCAAACTTTCTGACCCCAAACGTTTGAACAGTAGTGTATGTCATTAATTGCAAATAATTGCTTGCATTTCTTCTAATAAAAACAGACTAGTGAAATATTTATATTAAAATTCAATACACATTATACATAATACTTCTGATATCTTTTATTTATTTATTTATTAATCATGCTAAATTAACAGCCTTAATTATTTGTTCTTCTATAATAAAAGAGAGAAGAAGTGAATATTTGATATGCTAAAACATGCTGGGATGTGTGTGCAGATGGATGGAGGTGATCAAAAGTGCAGCGAGCTCCGCGGGACGCATGAGTCTGCTTGTACCCAAAGGCCCAGCAGAGATGAACGGGGGAAGCTGAGTGTGTCAGACTGGTCTCCTGGAGCTGAGGGCTGGGCCCATTGTCTGCCAGGACCAAACACAGCATCGTTTTATCCTTTCTGATTTGTGGCTCTGAGAAGCATCATCATAATAACTTGATTCTTGACTCTGGACTGTTAGTTCTCTGCTTGCTGGGAGTTTGAGCTGCTTATTGAAGCCTCAGACCAAAGAAGTTGGTCGGAAAGTAAGCACTCTGTAACTGTCTCCCGCCATTTCTCTTTCTTTTCTTCTCGTCTTCTCGCTGATGAAACAAAAAGTGGGCATCTTGCTGTTCTAGAAGCACATTAGACTGAAAGAATTCTTATAGAAACAAATTAGACTGAATTAAGTTAAGTTTGTGTGTTTTCCTTAAAGATCCAGAGATAATCTTGCTAAGGTTACACTTATTGCTGTATTCAAGTTTTAAGGTCTTTGCTAAGATGAATCTGTCATTAGGATATTTAATGATTCTTGTTACTCCAGTTTATTCAGTAGAAATCTAGTCCCTCAGGACCACAAATATAGTTTCTATTATTTGTCCTGGGACAACCTGACTGAATACTACTAAATGGAGTGTTGACAAGCAGAGGGTTTGTATTAAGTCCAGCTGGTGCAGTAAGTGAGATAAAGGACTAGCGCTGTAAAATGTGTCTCGCTGATGTACAAACAACGTAATGTTGGTCAGAGAGCATGTTTACAGGGCATAGCTCAGAAACTGGAGTTCTATGATCGAGCACCTTTGCGCCTTTAAAGGGTTGAGGCTGAGATGTTGGTACAGGAAGGAACGAGTGAGGAATAGTAATGTTATTTTGACGTTGAGGCAGCTGAATTGGCTTGTACAGTATGTGCTGTCCTCTTCCAGCGTAGGTTAAAGCATGTCTTGAAGGTCATTATTAAGTGACCGTTACTATTTAGGGGATTTTTTGAGTTCTGATCCGTTGCTTTTTGATCTCACAGCATTGATTTTCTTTAAATCTGAAAACTAATCAGATATCTAGTGTAAAGTGAAGACTGACCAAAAGACATTTGCTAACCAAACTAAATGTAATGTTTTAAATGATGTATTCACAAATGGCACTGGTTTTGATTTTTGGGATACTTGACAGATAATAAGCTCAAGTCTAAACTAACCCCCATATGGGGGAAGAGGGTCATCCACGGTGTAATATTGCACTTTTCTTTTGGTTCCTGCCATTTACACACAGGGAAGAGGAAATGGTTCTGGTGAAGTTAAAACAACAATGCAAGATGGTCAGCCACTAAATCCAAAATTTAAACTGGGATCAAAGGCCTAAAACTGCCTGTTCCCATTTTATATTGTATATGCGAATTATTTTTTAAAATTTTTTAAATTTAAAGCATATTAATAATTAATTTACAAGTTCTTTCCCTACGATCTATTGATCAGCAAACCTTTTTTTTCACTATATATGTTACGGTCTTGTTTTGTTGGAAGGCCAGTTGAGTTATTTGTTGTTTCAGTAGCGTGATGAAGTTCCAGTGTTATGTTTACTTATCGGCTTCACTTTATGAAGACAGATCTGTACGACATCTGATTTGGGAGACTTTTTTTTTTTTTGCCTCTTTTTTGATTATTGGTTGTATTTATAAGGCTTTTGGCTTTGTCCGTTCAACATGCTGTACAGGGTCCAACCAAAGACCTGAAGAAGTCTTGCGTAAGCCTAAAAAAGTTTGGCCAGAGTTAGTCGGCCACACATTAAGCAGTGTTGCTTTGTGTACTTGTAACAATAAACTGTATGCAGCTATCATCTCGACATAAGCTCAGCTAGTCTGATGTGTTTCAAAACCCTCTACATTCACTAATGCACTGTGTGGGCTCATGGTCTCCACCCATTTTTGTACATTTTATGCAAGGACTGGAATCATTTTCTTCCTCGTTTTCTGTATTTGGCAATAAGAGGGATGGATGAAGGGTTGCTTTCCATCCTGGATTGCTAAGCATGAGAAAAGTGAGTTTACTCCAAGACCTCAGTTTCCGGTCTCGTTCAGAGAGGCACTAAACTGAGTTTTGATGAAATCGCTTTTCTCCAGCTTTACTATTTATTTTGTGTAGCATGCTGCTGAGGCGTTGCTCCTGTACACACCACATATAGTAAGTTTCATATTATGACATTGAAGGGATATCAAATAAAACTGAGCTGTGTAAACGTTTAATTCTCTTCTTTTTGTCACATTAAATGGTTAGTTCACACAAAAATACAAATTGTTATCAGTTAGCCTACTCACCCTGTATGACAGTTTGTTCATCTTTAAAACACAAATGAAGATATTTAAATGAAAACTGAGATTTATGTCGCTCTATTTAAAGATCATTACACCAAAATGTTGGCACTTCAGAAAGTTCATAAAAACTAGGGCTGGGTGAAAAATATCTTTATCTCTATTTCAATAGATTCTAATTTTTACGGAACGATATAGATTCTTAAATCCCAAGAATCGATTATTCTAGCCTGTTTTCAGTTAATGGATGGAACATTGAAGGGCACCTCCCATCCAATAAATCGCAATAAGCATTGTGCTTTGGTACTTTTAATATGAAACAAAGTCTCAGATTTCAAATGCTGTCCATTGTATTGCAGTATTTAAACAATAATTATGCTGTTTTGGCACTGTTTAATGTGGAGTGACAGATCGCTGTAGCACCTCACTTCAACAGACGCAGCAGCGCGAGGCGCACGTGGAACATCTCCTCCACATTAATACCAGTTTCAGCACAAAATAAACATGACTAAACATCTGAAGGTAAGTTAAAAGAAAGAGTACAACTTTACAATCCGTATCCTGTCCAATGTAATCTCTCAATCAGTGTTTCAGCCACGCAAAGTCAATATAACTGCTTGTAAACGATGTGTCACGTAATATTTACCTCAGCAAAACATATTTGGTGACCATAAACCCATTAGTCAGATAGAAAAATAAACTGTAGAGAGGGGCATTTTGCTAAATATATGCACCATATAACATATTCATTATAGTTTTTAACTGTTCTTCAATGTTTAATTTGTTTGAATAAATCCATCAAGTTTTCATGACAGCCACCATTTAAATGTTTATATTTTAAAAAATATATATTTATTTTAGCAGTTGTATATTAGCCTACAAATCGGTCAATTTTAACCTTCAATATTATAGCAATGTAGTACCAACTGACTCATGTATATTTTACAGCATTAGTTGAGAGATTTTTATCCTTTTGGAAAATTTGGTATGTGCTGTACCTGATATGTATCCAAAATAATCGATATTGAATCGAATCACAAGCTTGTGAATGAGAATCGAATCGTGAAATTTGTCAAAACCCATCCCTAATAAAAAAAAGATGTGTAAAAGTAATCCATATGAATTGAGTGGTTTAATCCAAGTCTTATTTAAATTAACAAAAATAATTTATAATATTATATTGCTATATAAATATTCAATTTCAGTTTATTGCCAAGGCAAAATTTTCACTTTCACATACTTAAATTACTAATGCTAAAACTTGCTTTTCAATAAAAAAATGTTTTTATATAAAAGAAACTAAAACGATAAAATGACACCACAAAAATAATTAACTTTAAAACTGAAAATATGGAAATAAAAGCTAAATCAAAATATGAATAAATATTATAATTCATAAATAATACTAAAATAACCCTGCTTTGTATGTTTTATAATAGAAAAAGATTTAATTTAGGCTTTTATTCACATATAAACTTTGATCAACGCACATGCATAGAGCACATCAAATATAGTAAGCAAACTGCAAAGTGTACTTGCATGACATGCCCTATGTAAGTGCGCTGATCAAGATTTATTCATGAATAAAAGCCTAAATTCTGTTTATATTATAAAACAATTGTCTCTTAAAAAAGAAAAGGATTACTTTTACAATTCTTTATGAATTGGAGCGACAAACTTTCGGTTCCATGGATTTTTAATGAAGGGACAGAATTCTATCAGATTTGTGTTTCGAAGCTGAACGGAAGTCTTATGAGTTTGGAATGACATGAGAGGGTGAATAATTAATGACAGAATTTTCATTTTTGGCTGAACTATACTTTTAAGCCTTTTTCCGGCATTTCACCCTGTAATTTATGTCCTAAATGCAAACTTAAGAAATAAACACTTTTTACACTAGTTTATTTACAGTTCAATGTACTTTTTCATTTAATGGAATACACATAAACTTGGTTTGTCGTTTCAATATTTTACATTTGATTTAGACATTTCAAAATTCTATAAAGTAAACAGTAAAAAAACATCTCATAATACAAGCTGTAATGGAAAGATTGGATGTGTATGCAGAAGGAGCAGGTGGGCACAGAGGACCGGCTCATGAAGGGATCGGGACGGTCTTTCCATCAGACATCATCGTTTTGAAGGCATGCTGTTTCTTTTGAGTGTAAACCTGCAGAGTTGAGACACAGGAATTCTCAAAGTTCACTCCTGCGGAAGATTCAGTACTGCATGCAAGTGCCACAGCGCAGCACAATATCTTATAGCACTGAATCAGCATGACCTGAAAAACTGCCATAATCAGAAAATGACATAAAATACAATTAGATACTGTGTGTACAGACACACAGACGAGACTGTATATTAAATGTAAGACCTGTTTACCTGCACACTCTCTCCATAATGTTATCGAGTAAACGGTCTGAGATTCCAGGGCTGGACTCCTCTGCGAGGCTGAATGCGTTTTCCAGCTCCTCCAGGGCACATACACCGCTCCTGCTAACACGCCGCTTCTCCTTCAGCTGCATACAGAACATAATCCGCGTGTTGTGACTTGACGTTAAAGCAGGAGGTCAAGGCTCACTTACATAAACGTACGTTTTTGAATTCTTTACCTCTCTGAAGATGGGTGTGATGAACGTTGTTAGAGACGGTGACTTTGGCTGCCTCTTCACAACGTCTGATGTCTGTTAGAAAAACAAAAAAATAAACCGGTGAAGTCCAAATGAACTTGCAGTCAAGTCAGAAAAGAAACTGATCATATTCACTACAAAATGAGTGTTACTGGACCTCAGTGCTGCCTTTGATACTATTGACCATTCTATTGGATAAGCTCAAAAATGATGTTGGCATTAAAGGAATTGCATTGGTATGGTTCAAATTGTACCTACCTGACAGTTATCAATTTGTAGCAGTAAAAACGGGTGTGTTATAAGTTCAGTGTGGAGGACCGTAGGCCTCAGTACTAGAGCTGAACATTTTAATCAACTAATGTGTGTTTAACAGTCTGGTTCCAAAAGTAAAAATCCCATTCATTTTCTTAATAGGGGAATTGATTTGAACAATAAATTCTACATTTTTAAAGACAAATCTACAGTGAGCTATGAGGTTGTTAACCCTGGTGAAAAACGACATTACTCATGAATCTGCTGAGAAATCTCCAGCAATAAGAAAATCGCGACTAGCAAATGATGCCAAATCCCATGAAGAACTGCAAACTATTTAAATATTTGTATGCATAATATGCATATTTTTGCACTGAACAATATGTATATACAGTGGGGCAAAAAAGTCTTTAGTCAGCCACCAATTGTGCAAGTTCTCATTTTCTTCAAATGAAAGTTTGTAATATTGTGATTCACCTTGATATATATATATATATATATATATATATATATAGGTTTTTTTTTGTATTGTTTAAACTCCTATAGGAAAACATTTCTGGAACCACAGTGGCTAAAAAAGTGGACAGGCACTGTTGCACTTTATAGAGTAGTATTCAGCTGGTCATGTGATTACAGTAGGCAGCCCCTAATATTTCAAATTAAGTATACTACACTTCATTTCTTTGTGTAAGATGTGGTTAATGAAACCTGCTGATTTTTTAAGGAGGCTCTGCCCCCCAGTATATATTTAAGTGCGATTAGTCGACTAAAGAAAAATCTTCGGGGACAGCCTTAATAAAAATTGTATTAAACATTGTCAGATCCATCCCCGGCCCTTTCACACCTAGTATCAGAGGCAGCTCTGATGGGACTTTAATTCATCTCCTGCAATTGTGATTCCTGCGTAGATATATATGCTGCCTCTTTGACACTAAAAATACTGTTTAAACACCCTTTGTGGTATCTTTATAATACAGATTCTGCTTTTATGTTGGCTTTGTTCTGCAAAGGCTTTAGAACACATTTTTACCTTACAGTCTAAATGGTTGAAACCTCTCTGTAACTTGTTCATGGAAGTGGGCCGTACAGTGGGGAAAGTCCACATGGGACACTGGTCTCTGTCATCCCCCTCCCCATCCCTGAGTGAAAGCACACAGAGTAAACATACTGTATACAAATTTCACAAGTTTGCTGATCACACATCTAGGAATGTAAAGCGGACACATACATGTCAGAGTCATCAGAGCTCGATTCGTCCCCGGGGCCCTCTGACTTCCAGTGGCGATATCGATCAATGAGCTCTGCCAGGTATGAGGTTTTCTTGGTGTAGCGGGTGATGAACTTGTGCTTCAGAAGCTCTTTGGCTGTCGGTCTCTGTTGGATGCAAACAGCATGTCACAAAAATGAAAAGCAGTTTACCTCATGTTTTAAAATTTATTAGCCTGTTTATACTAAAGGCTAATTGCATCACTGGCAGAGTTTGAATAGAATTTCTTATATTATAATACATTAACTGATAAATGACATATTAAAATTAAGTAACACTTTATTTTAAAGACCAATTCTCTCTATTAACAAACTATTAACTATGCCTCATTAAAACTCCTAATTTGCTGCTTATTAATAGTTAGTAAGGTAGTTGTCAAGTTTAGGTGTGGGGATGGATTAAGGGATCAAAAATACGGTCATGCAGAATAAGGCATTAATATGTGTTTTATAAGTACTAATAAACAGCCAATCATTTATTTCCAGATCACCTAATAAGCAACCCGTTAATAGTGAGAATTGGTCTTTAAAATAAAGTTACCTAAAATTAAAATAAATAATCTAAATAAATCAAAATAATAATAATAATTTTAAATTCTACAAGTGTATTTTAGGCATCACAACATTGTAATGTACAGTTAAAAAAATAATATATTTATTTTTAGATTGCTAAAGTTTACATTTAATAGTGCAAATAAATTATTTGTACTGTTAAAAATGTGAAATAAAAAAAAAACAGCATCAGATGATGCAAAGATTATCTAAATGTAAAATTAAGA